ATTTGTGGGAGAGTGGGAGGTCATTGACATGGCTCGCTTTCACACATACCCCAGGTGAAAGGGTGCTACCCTGCCTCCGCCACATCTGCGGCGAGCCCCTGCCTGTTCCGAAAGGCTGGAGTGCGGACGAGGCTAAGCCAGTTGCGTTCCCACTCCAAGGAGGCAGCAACTTCTTTCTAGCCCCGGCCAGGGCACCCGTGTCAATCTTGTAGGTTTGGGGTTTAGGGCTCCTGCGGCAGTTGTCATAGGTCTCCTCGTAGTCCCATAGGGGGAATTTGTTGAAATTCGACATACATGGGATGCACACAGGGGACTCCAGGATTGGAATCTCTTTCATTTTGTCGCGCCTTCGCACGATGCCCTTGGCCAGGGCCGACCACAGCGCATGGTGGAACATCTCCAAAACTGAATTCCAGCAAAGAATTCCTATGTGCAAGCAGAGATGCTTCAGCCTGTAGACTGGACAGCTTTTGCTCGATAGGGGCTTCTTACATAAACAACTTACTGCTGCGCTGGAGCATCCTCTACAACTGACCCTATCCTGCAACACTCAGGGATTGCAGGAATCTGCAAGAAGCCGGTTGATAGATTCAAGGGGGCCGTCAGCAAGTCGCTGCAGAGCCTGGTTTGTGGCTCGGCTGGGGAATCGCGATTCAGCACCGCCTTTATATGACATCACAAACCTAGTTCTGGGATGCTAGAGCCCATCAAAACTAGCACGATCTTGCTCTGAGAGAAGAGTACTGCTTCTTCAAAATTCTGAGCCGAGATTTGCAACTGCGCCCTCAAGCGCAATAAGAGCTTCCTGCTCAAGTGAACTGCATTAATTAATGCAAGTACTGACTGTTGTCATGGCAAATCCGCTATGGACCTGGCTGGGCTAGGGTGGCTCTCAACTGTGCTCCATTTATGAGTGCCCTGCGTAGGGAACATGCTTTAAATGGGGCAACTGCAGTAGTGGCCACACAGCAGCGCAATTGGCATACAAGCAACTCCGCAAATGCAACAAATCCTGTGGAACAGCAAGAATTCGTCTTGCTGGGAGCAAGCCATACGGATGCAAAGCCCTCTACTGCGTGGGTAACCTATTTCTTGCGAGCTTTCCTGGATCTGGGCCGTACCCTCCTTAACGTCAAGCGGTGCATCCCTAAGTGGCTTTCAGATACGCATCTGCCACAACAACCTTAACGCTGAACAGGCTTAACATCAATGGACATGACCTACCGTGTTGCCCCGAATCTGGCCATACGCACGTACGACAAGCACGAGACTCATTCATACTCACAGCAAGACGACAGCTGGTCATTCCTGAGTCAAACCCAACATCTCAAATCCCCAGACCCAAAGCCTGAGATGCCTCATCATCACATGAGCGCTCCTACAACATGCCTTCAGGCGACCGTCTGAAACTCTCAACTTCTAAGATTTGAAAGCCCAGAGGCTCACAAGAACTTTATGCCTCCAGATCCCGCACCCCTCACTCGAAGTCCTGCAGAATCCCTCCAGAATCACTGCGAAACCCGGACTCACACGGAAAAAAGATCGCCTCTGTATCCGCTTCACTAACCCTAAGCCCCAATCCGACATGTTCATATATACACGGATACTCTCAACAACAACCAGTACAGTACGAATAAAGAATACTGATGGATCCTTCTACAACTCTCTAATCCCAGCCTGCCTCCAGAAACGAGACAGACACAGAGCTGAGAGTTTATGGCGCAATCAGCCGCTGAAGCTCGTAGGAGCCTTGGGGTTGAGAGTGGGGCTTCGGATTTAGGGTTTAGGCTTCGGGGGCTTTGGGCTCAACGATCAGGACTTAAGATCTACAGCTTACGCTTCTCAAAGTTCAGGGTGTGGGGTTTCAGAGCTGTGGGCTTCAGGCTCATGCAGTCTTCATTGTTATTGTTATTGATATTCAAAGCTTTTGGTTCAGGATTCTCGTGCTTCTTTTGTAGGATTGTTGAACGCCTGTCATGTGCTGGCTACTTCGCGTTCTTATGTAACACTTGAAAGGAGCTACCTTGGCCTTGGCGCAGTTTGTACGTAAGGTTTAGGGATTCAGGTCGTGCCTGTGAATCCCCCAAGCCTGCAAGTTGAGGCACTGTAAAGTTCGGCAGGAGCCGCACAGTCGTCCCAAGACGCCTCCAAGGGTAGCTGGTAAGCAGCTGTGGATCCTCCAGCACCAGCTGAACTCATCCTGGGTCGCCTTTACCGACTCAACCCGTGACCATGGCCATGCAAGTCAAACACGAGGCCGCAACTCTTCCGCCTAGCAGGTGGGAGTGAAGAATATTGTTCCAACCACGCAGTCGCCCAACAAAATTGGCTCGCAAAGGTAGAGGGATCGCACCAATAAAATCCTCCCCGGAGCTTGGGCTGCTTCCCTCGGGAGCAATAGCAGTGAACAGTGGAAGAAATTATTTCTGGACAGTTGCAGGTGCTTATACCGAAGCACACCCATGCCAACCAGCCACCCAACAATGCCGTCCACCTGGCCTCTCCTGACTTGCACGTTGCCACAATGCACAATGCGGTCCTCCAGGTGTGTCAAAAGAGGAGGCTCCACCCCTGAGGCTTGTTGCTTGCTAACAGATCGAGGCTGCTTGGCGAGGCGCAGGTCCGGAACAACCCATTGCAAGTGGGCATTCTTGGTTTACCCACCTGAGCGCCTGCAAGCTGCGGGTAGGCGCCGAAGTACCTTCGTGGAGAAATGCGTCTCCAATCCTTGCAAGCGGCCGAGCAGAACCTGGAAGTGATAAAGCTCCTGGAGGGTGCGAATGACATTCCGAAAGGTAATGGGTTCCGTGTGAACAGCCTGGGTCGCCACCAAGCGCTTCACCGACCACTCCCGTTGCCGCGTGGAGGTCAACTTTTTCTTTGGGCGGCGGCAGCGCGTGTCCACCAGCAAGTCGGGCCGGCTCTTGATAGATTGTCTGCAGAAGGCTCAGTCTTGCCAGGTCAATTTAAGCGTCACCTAACACCTCCTCCAGTTCCTCCTAAAAAGATCGTCAAGCGCAAATGGAAGAAACGGGGAGAAGTTGGAGCTTCAAGGTACCATACCACGTCCCATTATGAGGCCGATGCCAAAAGTTCGAGCGTCAGATCCCAAGAGGCCAATATCTCAGGCAGAGTCTTCTACGACCGACGCCTTTTCTTGGTGTCGTAGATGCAACGGTGACAAAGGCGTCTGAAGCTTCTATTTCTGGAGAGGTCAAGATGACCAGTTGGGTTCCCCTTTTGAGACACCTAGTGCTCAACTTCTTTGGGGACAACTTGCTCAGCTGGCGTAAAAAAGTTACAACCTCAGTTGGAAAAGGCTCTTAAGTCGAAGGTGGTGAAGCCTTCGCTTTCCTCTGGAACCTATTGTGGTCCATGAGGAACGAGGCAGCTTGGAGTTGAAGCTCCTTCTTCACAAGCAAGGATTTAGCAGCAAATTGTTTCAAGATGGAGTAGAGATGGTTAATAAGACCAAGTTAAGGACTTGGATCATAGCGTTCCATTGCTCCTCCGAAAAGAACCGCTCCCTAGTGCAAGGAGATGAAAGGAGCACACCTGAGGTGTTTTGCCAAGTCAGTTATCCAGCCATTGGATCATTCTTGGTTCAAGACCCCAGTAGAGCGTGTAATCCAAATTTCGAAGGCCCTCATGTTCAGTCTTTCGTTACTTCGGATAAACCGTTCGCGTGCTTGGTGATTGATCTAGAGAAAGGATTTCAAGCAATTCCTGATCAAAAAGGTACTATCACCTCAGGAGTACGTGAAGCTCTAAAGCTCCCGGAAAAGCTCCAACTTGTGGGGCTGTGTGGCTGCGGTAATCACTGCAAAGTAATGCAGCCTGGAGCATTTGTTCCTCAAGCCCCAATTTTGGCATGGAGGAATACCCCCATGCAGGCAAGATCCGTTCTCCGGTAGCTTGCAAGGATCTAGCGGTAATCCGTAATGCAGGTTTATGTAAGGTTTAGTTTTTGGGTAGTATGCCGTACGTCCTGGCGGGACGAAGGCAATAGTTTCTGTGTGTACGCTCTGCCCAAGAGTAGCACAGAGCGGGGGGAGTGCTGGTGTGTAGGTCGTGTTGTCAAATGCATGCATGCAGTTCCTCCGCAGCCTGTTGTAGATCAGGAGGGTTGAAAGGGTGCTAAACCTAAGCCTCCAGTACCTCCAGCTCTAGGAATAACATACCTAGTAGTTCTAATGTACAGTGTGGAGCACCAGTTGTATAGCACAGTAGTTGTGTACAGCTTTAATTTCTGAAAAGAATGTACTTGTTCTTGTTTGCCCGTGTGGAGTGCGTTGTGTCGAAAAAGAGTGCCATCGCTTGCCATAGCCCTTCACAGCTCTGCCTTCGCCTCAGGCACGTTTTATAGATTTCCCCCGAATATTCAATACTTTATCAGGCCGAAGAATATTTGATATTAGCAGGAGGGGACATCGTTTGATGTTAGAGGGAAAGGAGTATCATCCGCAACCTCACAGAATCGTAACACATGGCTGCGGCCTTGGAATTGTCGACTAGCATCCTCGACTCCACAAAAAACCGCATTATGTATCCGAGCCGCCCTATAGTGTCTTAGGGCTTAGGTTCTCGGCGCTTTGTCGCACGGGAGATGACAATGCCGCCTAATACAACTACCATGTTTTTCTAAGGGCCCTTGACAGGGCGCCACGCTGAGCAGGAATACTTCAGCGTGTCGATGTCAGAAATCATTGGGTTTAGCTGGTGCTTTTAAGTTTATGCTGCTAGGCGGCACGGCTACACGGGTGTCCATGTTTTGGCTGGAGAGTGCACTCTGCTGCAGTTCCGCTGCAACTTTCATTCCGTATACTAGATCCTTTTGACTTCGTCTTTTGCGATCCTGAGCTGTCCACAACGGAATTGTGCCCAAACCGGGATAGTCTGATACTTATCTGCGGTTCCTATAGAAAAAGCAGAATCAGTAGTTGGAATACCTGAACTCCCTTGAAACATACTACTCGCACTTGTGTCCTCCGCCTGGTAGCCCATTCCAGCAATGAAGCCCAGAGCAGCCCAGGGGGTAATCCGCCGAGTGTACCAGAGGAAGCCAACGCCCTCAAGGCCCATAAGCGTTACACCTGCCAGCTAGTGCAAGATCTTGAGAAGGCTACTTGCAGAGTTTTCAGAGTCAGGGTTCAACTATACCTTTTCAGATGGAAGCGTAGATGGCGCTATCTTTAGGAGCCCGCTGTCTCTGACTCTGCATGCAGAGGAAGTTGCAGATGATGCTGCATGGCTCTCATGCCAACAGGACAACATGTTTGCAGCGACAGCCCGGGCTAAACCTAACATGGTAGCTTGAGCAATTAAAATCAGGCTAGGTCTTTTGGGCAGCTTGGGCCGCTGTCTTTCAAGCCGGGAGAAGCTGGAATTGGCTTGGAGAACATTTGTCAGGACGCTTCTTGCAGTTGAAGATATGAAGCTCCATTCGAGGTAGCGATTTGCACTGAAGCAACGTGGACCTAGCCTATTTTTTATCCAGGCTTGCGTATGGGCATTTGTTAGAACGAAGGTCACGACAGAGTTGACCAAACGCATAGCGGCGGACCCAGAGCAAATACCGAAGCAGTCTTGGAAGGCCTGCAACGGATCCCACCGCCAACCTCACAGGCCATCCAGCTTCGGATTGGGGCTTTAGCGTTTAGGGTTTGGATTTTCCTTCATAGACTTCATGGCCTCGGCTTAGCATTTGCAATGTTGCAGAGAGTGGCTGGTGTAATTCTGGGAGAATGATGTACTGGGACTCATAGTTTGAGTTTTGCTTCAGCTTTAGAAGAGACTTCTTTTGAAAACAGAACAAAACTCCTTACAGCCCACCCCCACCCCGACACAACCAAACATCAAGACACGAGGTTTGGCCATTGGGCTACTTCAGGATTGTACAGCTCTCCGTTTGTCTGCTGTGCACTTATGGCGAGGTCTCATGCATGACTCCACACGCACTCAGTCCGAAGATCTAGGGAACAAGTGCTCCAGCTGAGGCACATGGACCCGCCGGTGCCACCCGCCAAAGCCACCATCTGCCAGAGTGGATGGTCCATGGGCTCGTGGAACATCTGGATACTGGCCTGTGCGAAGATCTAAAAATCTCAAGCTCCTGTGGCTACCAAGGGAATGGCGCACAGGCCTTCTGCAAATTACAGGCAACCTGAACCTAGGGAGTAGACCAAGGTTCCTGGTACAAATTCTTTTGGGAAACCCTCGAGGTGGCGTACTGGACTGGCACTGGTCAGGCTGTACGGTCAATGGATGAAATCTGGCTCGGCTCTACCTGCTTATGAGCGCCAAAAATCCCACAACACGTTTAACATCACCTACACAAAGCCTGCCCAAGCTGCTGCAAGTTCCGCCTGCACCAGCGGCACGTTGTCCACAACCGCGGAGCTGACGCCCAGAAGCGTCGTGAGGGCCAAGGGGCTGCCGTGAGTGAAGTCCTTGGCTACAATCAAAGAGTTCGGGACAACCTTGAAGCTCTGTGTGCGGCCCTCCTCCTTCAAGAAGGCCGTCAGGTCAATGTAATTAGTGTTCAGGATGATGGTGTAGGTCATGGCTTTTAGATTTCCTTGAACCGTTCTCGCTCTTCCTCTTCTTCTACAACCGCAACTGGTGATATCGTCAAACCTACCAAAGCCGCCACTCCCAACCCAGGATTGTCTAACACGTTCGATGCCGCATGCCGCGTATGCAGGCGTAAAGTCATTCACTTGGGGGTTTCCTGTTCACAGCCATGGGATCGCTTCTGCCGGAAATTCAAGCTTCTTCCCCCTAAGAACTGATAATTTCGACCTGTATAGCCTTTCAGACATGTTGCGAACAAAGAAACATGCGTTATTTTTCTTAATTAGGGGGACTCAATGTAGCATAGATTCAATGTACATGGCGGCCTGCGATTACCGGCTAAACTGCACATCCTCTTGTGTAGGAGCCTTCGTCACTGTTTGCATCGCATTCCTATGTGAAACGAAGAGACCCGCGTGCTCGTAGGGCCCTGCAAAATTGGGCTAGCAGACCACGATTCTCGCAGGATGACTACTTTATCTGATTCCCCTTTTGTTCAAATCCCAACGTTGCCTAAGGCAAATTGGGTCCAGTGCTTTCATGCAGCCGAGATGCATTCATGAACTCTGAATATCGAGCCAACACCTTCCGTCAAAAATGAAGGGTGAGCAAATCGGCTCCTGCACTTTGAAACTGTGGCAACCAACAAGTTTTTCTGCCAAGAAGGTCACAAAGACTTCCTTGGGTGAAGACCCCAAAACCGGTGACCAACGCGTTTGTTTCGAACAACCTTCTGAAACCCCGAGCCCATGTATGGTGAATACTAAGGCGGGCAAGAACATGCAAGAGAAGAGAGGCCCACGGCCTCCCTCCATCATTACAGAAACCTACACTCAAGATCCAAGACTTGACGTTCTCAAATTCTACAGCCAGCGCTCTTCCTCCAACACCATCAGCGATAGCCTTATGTAGAGGGGCCTCTTCACCTTCAGTCGAAAAATCACCAAAACGGTACAGGCCAGACCTTTCCTCCCATCCCCCGGTCCCCTACTAAAACATAAGCCTCCGCAGACTCAAGGGAGGCAACGGCCAGGAGCACACCGGTGAAGAAGAGGAGACTGCTTAGGTCTACCTCATCGGCTTTAGCGTTGCATTGCAGCTTGTAGGGCGAGGATCTCAATATGCCTGAGGGCAGGAGCGCGGGCACCCAAAATGGGCCCTGACTTGCGTAGCCAGTGACCAGCACGAACCCGAAAACATGTACCAGCTTTGCGGCAAGAAGCTTGAGAAGAGGGCTTACTCTAAACCCTAAACTCGCTCCGCAGAGTTGTTGAGTCCGTTTTGAAGGGATGAAGAACTTCCAGCAAGCCTACGGAAATATGGGGGCCGTAAGGCAACTATCATGGGAGTGATGCGGAATTAGGATTTGGATTGGCGAGAAAGATCCATGATGTGTACCGCTCGAGCTTTGAAGCAATCTCCAGCTAGCGCTCGCAAAGTCCACCTATCTTATCGTAGCAAAGCCGGAGTGAACTGCGGGACTTGATCCAGACTGCAGGGGTGCCTCCAAAATCCAAGCCTCACTTCATCGCGGGATTCCTGCTAAGACCTTCGAACCCATGATGAGATTTGCAACGGTAAGCCCAAAAGGCCCAAGCCGAACCAACGTACCACCCTAGTTTCCGCATAAAGCCCAAAAGAACAACTTCTCATGCACCTTCTGGGAAGATTGGGATAGCCACCCAAGCACTGCCCTGTCATTGGAAGGTATTCTGCTTGCCATTCATGAATATATCTTGCGATGAAAATCAAATCCTAGAAATGACCTAAAACTGCGGCACGAACTGTGTCGCACGTAGGGAAATCAGAGGCAAGCCATTCACAGCCAGAGCCACAACTAGGGCTCAAAGTAGCACTCGCCGTGGTCAGCGCTCCAACCCACAACACACCATTCCCGCGGGCAATTACACCAAAATCCTGTGTACTCCGCATGCAAGAACTTCCAGAACACCAACGTCCAAAAAACATGCTTTTTTACAGCCTGATCACGCAATAGGATGATATCCCGTCTACTGCTCTCAGCAGCTGCACTTCCCAAAACCTCCGATCTGTGTCTAACAGAAGGTTTACAAAGGGCGCGGGGTGGATTGAGCATGCGTGTACCAGCAGGTGGAGGAACCAAAATTTCAGTAGCTCCTGAGCCTCCAACATTAGTTCCTTTCCCGCAACATTCTTCCCCAAATCTGAAGCTTGTCCACCAAAGGCCTTGTGAAGTGCTGCAGGCACGCCATACTTCACGTGCTCCCCGCCTTGGGTCACTGCGCAAAAGTCATCCAGATCATGTTCCTGGTTTGACCTACAAAGGCATTCTACGTATACCCCACAAGACTACTGAACAGCATCAACGTCAAACTGAAGAAGCCTTTGCAAAGCAAGACCACAGCCTTTCCTCAAGCTGTCCGACTGACATTCCTGATCATGTAGAGGCCTGAATAATTCAAAGAGGGCTTCAAGAGGACAAGTCTGCAGGAATAACCATCATTGCACAAGCTCCTGCAGTACTTGCTTAAGGCAAATCAGCGACTGCACTGTCACACATCTGAGATTTTGGATACAGCCGTGTCTTTGCATACCAGCGTGTCAAGAGCCCAGTGGCTGGCCGTGTCGAAGCCTGAAGTTGTGAGCACGGCAGCTGGCTGGCTGCAAAGTTAGCAATCTTTTGCACACATCTGCGACAACGAGATGTCCGCTCAAAATGGGGGCTAAGCTACAAATAGAAAAGGAAAACCCTTGAATTTCTGAAATCTCCCAAAGTACAGAGCCTTAAGACAATCTGGCACCTTGGACCACATCAAGACAATGCTCGACAACACGAACTGGCCTTCCTCCTCGTCTCGTTCCTCATCCACTGCACCTGCCCCGAAACGCAGCATACTGCCAGGGTCAAGCAGGTGCTCATGCAACCTGTGAAAAGAGCGTCCCACATCGATCCCAATCTCAACTGGCTCTGAGAGGTAGGAACTTACATGTTTCTTTCTCTGTTTGCGCTATATCCCGCCAGAAAGTACTCCTTCATGAGCTGCAGATGTGCTTGTTGATGTGATAAGTCATCTTGCTGCCAGTCGCCCAGTCCACCTTGCTACCGCTAGGACTTACACTGCTACTTCATGGAACCAAAACGAAAGTTGCCATCTCCATCAAAGAAAGCATCATCCTTCTGCTGTGCGCTTTCGTCGCATTTGACGGCCGTTTTCAATCATAGACTAGGGCAGTAGCAACGGATACCAAAAGGCGTGCTACCCAGAATAAACAACAGGCAAGAATATAGTAGGACGTACAGTATTAGTACTCATGACGCGGTTACAGCAACGACACTACTAAATACCATTCTACTCTTGTTACGTTCATGGGCAAGGGTTTCAAACAGTTAGATGCGCCTAAGCCGGCAATTTCTGTCACGAGCCAGAAGATGCCAAGGGCCATCATCATGCCCAGGTAGGGAGGCAAGCCTACCGTCTTTAGGGCTTAGGTATAAGGTTTAGGCATGGAACTTTAGAGAATTGAGGGTGCAGGGTCTAGAGTTAAGGGCTTGATGGGTATAGAATGTAAAGGCTCAGGTCTGCTAAGAGCACCAATGGCATCTCATACTGCCGCTGCTGCGTTTTTATCCTATTCCCTGTGGGTCATATTTAGCTTTGAAGGAAACTAGAGTGTAGAGGGAATAATTTAGGCTTTGATGTGGATCTGAAGTCGGATCCTTACATCTTGCTGGTTGTTGGTAGGGAATGGAAATATAGGTCCCTGTACTCCTTGTAATGCCCAGTAATATCATGGCTTCCATGTTCCTTCCATTCCTTCATTCCCTACTAACAACCAGCAAGTGCTAAGGGCCGCTGTCTTTGTAGCCCAACTACATGCGTCTCAATATCAGTACGAGGATGCATGGAAACTGGCCCCTGGAAGACAAAATCAAAATGTAAGCGACAGGGAGGCAGCAAAAAAGGAACGACTCTGATGAGTGCCAACACGTTGGGGACACGCTTGCTGCTTGAAAGGAATGTACACTCGTATCCTCTAAGATCAGGATTCCATCTTTGTACTGACAAAAGGCTTGGCGTCTTAGGGGTCCCTAGACACGGCCCTTCATGTTGAGAATACCGAACCTGGCAGATGATGACAGAGCCCTAAAATGGCCACAATGGCAAACGGGTTCTGGCCAGTTTGTAAAACCGTCTGGGTTTGATCCAGTATGGAATGATGCTGCGAAAGCCTGCGGGTCAGAAGCCTGCGGGTCAGGCAGATGATGCAAGCTTGGTCGCCATAGTGCATTTCCCTAAACCCAGGAAACCTTACACACTTTTGGTTTGAAACTTAGCAGATTCTTCACTCATCGAAGAGCCACTCCTGGAATCGACTCAAGGATTCCAGCTAGCGCTAGCCTCCTTGACACGTAGAGGCTTGCGCATTCACAGCTTTAGGGTTTGGCAGCTGCCCCGGAGTTCAGTGTTTGGGGCTTAGGAGCAGAGGGTCTCGGGAGTGGGGAAAGGGGGGCTTTTGGAAACCAGCATCCTGAGCCCTGCTAACCGACTGCACCTGTCACGATCTTGACAACGGGAACGTTCAGAATGCAGGCAACTCCTCAGTCGAGACTTCTGGCGTCAAAATTGAAAGCCTTGGCCATGACCTCTGTGCTGATAGAAAGCGGGCCCCTCAAAACTTGTCCGCAGATATTCCGTCAGCAGAACAGGCTGGCGTCCAACGCAATCCCTAAAATCCCCAGAAACTTCACCACATCTCCAGCCTAGGCCTCCAATCATGATCCCAATATAGTCCAAGTATTACCCCAATGTTGCTTTCTGCCTCACAAACCCGAGCTTGGTGAGCCCAGACTCCCACAACCAGAGCCATCACGTTGCTGTTTGTCACCGGGGGCAGCTCTGGTTCTTGCCTTCAGTATTAGGGTTATGTAGGGGTTATATTCGGCAGTATTAGGGTTGTATTGGGGCAATATTTTGGAGGCTCAATTTTCAGAAGCATTCTAGCAGGTTCTTGTGGGAATTGTATTCACTCCCCAAGCGAGAAGTCAAGGACATCTGTAGTCTGAAGTTTCAGGCTTCAGCCAACAATATGGACACCAAAGAAGGTACATGTAGTCTCGCATGGGGGTGCAACTCATTGAAGTTCTGCGCTCAAGTCCGCTGAAGGCTGCGTTGGGATCGATCCTTACGACCGTGGGTTCACAGGAGCCGCAAGATGGTGCTACCAATTTTCGGGCTATGATAATCCCGTTATACTTGCGTTCGTTGTCTTTGTCAGCATTTTTCCCTTGTAACTCTAGTGCGTGCATATCCCGCAAAAGTCTTGCAGACCCTCTGCAAAGTTTTGAAAGTACCCTAAATCCTTCACTCGAAGGCCTAAACTAAGGGTAAACTAAACCTCAGCTACCGCGTAACAGTGTAGTCACAACTCTGAGCATGATGTAAGGTAGACAATTGCAGTACGGATATTGCCAGAGGGCACCCTGTAGCTGCACTCACAAAGTCCAAAGGAATCCCTCATGCTCTCACCACACCTATGCAAGGAAAGTTTACCTAAACAAATCCTTAGAACACCAACAACCTCCATCTCACCCTGAAAGCCCCATACGATGCCATACAACCCCTTTTACTTGCTGCTTCTTAGTAGCGAATAAAAGGAATATGTTACATAGGGCTCTATGAGAATGATATTCCCTTATTCCCGACAATCCTAAGACCTAAAACCCTACCCCCTAAAACCCTATAAACCCTGAACCCCTTTTTTCATATACACTCCGGAATCTAAATCTCGACCAAGCCTCGCAGCCTTGCCTTCCTCAACAGCATCCCCTCCGCACCGTTTTGCCTCTCAACATAGCGGCCCCCATCCCCAATTTAGGGTTTAGGTTCTTTTTAACAAGGTTTAGCGTTTAGGGATTGCTAAATATGAACTAATATCAACCAAGATCAATTGATATCAATGAATATCCATTTTTGTTTTTTTTGTGAGCACGTGCTCTTGTATCTCGTGAGCTCTTGTAACATACAATGACAGGATCGACCTCATCTTGACGACTGCTTGTAATCTCCTAGCCGCATCGGCAAGTTCCTGCACCTTCTCAACAACACTTGCGACCGCATGCCCTGCCTGCCTGTAAGATAGCCCCAGCTAGCAGGCTGTGCCTCATGAAATTCCCCCCCGTGTTGCCAGAGATATTGCCGATGGACTGCTGTGTCTACGGTCAAGCTAGGGCTCCGTCTCCGTCGCTTAGGCTCACAAGCACCACTAGCTCTTCGCGCGGGGCGATTGTCGCTGCACATGACTCCCAACCACAGAGCCAATGAGCACTCATCACAGAAGCTGGCCTGCCACCATATCCCGAAGAGTGGCAAAACACCCGCCACGAAGGATGGGAAGAACAACCACACGATGGTGCCTGCCACCCAAGCTTTTAGATTGTAAATGCAGCTAGATGCAGGTCAAACTGCAGAATGGCATGCATGGAAGTTCTTAAATCAAGTTTACTCAGAAGGAGTTGGCAGGCAAGATCCATCTATATCAGATTCGGTGTCAGGGAATGAGGTCCAACGTGGACTGCAAATAACAAACATGTACTTGTAAGAACCAGCTGAAGCAAGCAGTAAACTACAAGTCCTCAAAGTTACGGCAATCCACCCGTGTAAGGGAACCTTCCACTGCGGCTTGGTGTACTTGGTATGGGAACTACATTGGGCCTACCATAGGGTTATGGGGATATGTGTAGCTCTGAGCAACTTACCAAGGCCTTTGGCGTTGGGCACTTTCCTTGCAAAACACTGACCGTCACCGTGCAACTTTCCATCAAGCGCGACCAGGGAATCAGTTGTGCAACACAAAAAGACAAGATTTAGACATTTGCGGCAAGTCAGAACATGAGTGTTTTCGTGTGGGGTTGAATGAAGCTCTGGTAGCCACCAAGAAAAAAACCACAAACTCAGGTTACCATAGGTTAAGCTTGGAACAGCACAATCAGCGATCTAGAACATGGAAGGGCATGGGAATGAAGCACAAAAGGAGCTGAGCCAACGTGCTATAATCAATAACCGCAATGATGATCGGGTTATGGTCACCCTAAGCTTCCAGGTGGTAGCTGGCATGCTCACTTGGCAACTGGTGCCAACCTTCTTTTAGGGTGGATTCCCTGGCCAAAAACTCTCTGCGACTGCGAATGATCCTGCAGCTCCCTCAACTCTACAGCCCTAACCCCCATAGACCCTGAACCCTCTCACCTACAGTGGAGATCTTGTGGGAAATCCAGAGCATTGTGGTCGTCACATCGCCAATAGGACTCCAGGCTCCTGCTGCTTGGAAAATCTGCGCTTCTCATCCTCAACCCCAAGTCGACCTAGGCCCTAGAATTTCAGAGTAAAAGGGCGTTCTTGGATCTTATCAATGAGGGGATACCAAGTCTACATGAAGCTGAGCAGACTGAACACCAACACCCACAATCACGCGAAGCCTAGTGTGGTGAGCTGGGCGTTCCAGCAGTTCTAGCTTCAGGGTTCAGGATCTTGATGGGTTGGATTTGCTGGCTTTGGGCAGTTTAAGCATTCCAAGGTTCAGCCTTCCTCCGTCAGGGGAGCTTTCGTCAAGACATCCAGGGATTTCCAATAGAAGGCTTAGAATTAAAGGCCAGGGTCAATGGGACCTTTCCACTGCCGCCTCAGCTGAGATCCAGCTTGGTCCGGCTCAAAGCGGCACAGGACCTCCAGGTCACCCCCAAATAGTGTGTTCTGGACAGCCATGGCCAAAATTCGGTCTTCGATCTGCAACCCCCTAGTACTCTCACCCTGGCATTCCCAGACGCCTGAAAGTGAAATCAAGAAGCAAAATCAGCACACACCAGAGGTTGTGGAACTCCTCTCATGAAGCCTAAATGCATCCTCACTGTGGTCATGATGAAGTAAAAAAAGCTTAAACGCTTACAGGAAAAGTTCATGCGCTTCCTGCCTTCATACGTGCTATGACAAGCCTTTATCCCAAGCCCAAGCCCCTGTGCACTGGAATTCATGTGTATATATACAGATGATATATATAATCTATATAGGCTTATGTATTTGTTTACTTATCTTTACACGTCTCCTCCTGCATTCGCAGCCACAACCACAAGGCCACCACAAGAATGTCGCCAGTCCTGCATGAGCTTGTCAACCCTTCAGTTGAAGCTAGTAGGGTTTGGGGGATGAAGATTGAGGCTGCGCAACTATGCTTAGGTCTAATGTCTGAGGTGTGAGGCTTAGGTTGCACGGCTGGGGGCACTAGCAAACAAACCAAATCGAAGGATAGGGAAGCCCATGGACATGACTGTCTGCATGGTTCGCATGAAGGGATTGTAAATGATTTTTAGGGTGATAGGACAGGACGTCATTGCAGAGGGGCTCCTTCGCATGTCATGATCTGCATTCCTGACTTAGTCCAGCACATCACCTTGTGGTGGTTACCGTGGTTACCCTGCTGCTCGAGAAGCCCGGCGTGTTGCAAACTCCTGTCCTTCCTATGCGGCACTACGCGCTTCAAGATCTTGATGCAGACGATCGTGGCAGTTAAGTTGTCAATGACAGAACCTGAACACTTTAGCAGCCAGGGATCCAAGCTCACTGTCGGGGCCTTTGGGTTTCGGGCTTTGTGGCTGGCCATTTGCACACAGACAAAAAGCATCCATCAGAGGAGGACTTTGATAGCACATTCTTCTGCCGTCTGGCGAATGCATAACTTCTAATAAATAACTTGCAGTGTACCTACATCACTCTCTTTTAAGTGCAGGGGGGTTAGGGCTCAGCAGCTGAGAAGCTCAGGAAGAACGCCAGGAAGCAGATCATGGGCATCAAGCGGTCTGCCTGCTCATGCCAGGGGCTTCTGGGCTCAGAGATCAACAGCCAATGCAGGCAAAGCTTCCGAAGGCAGCAATTTGAAATCATGACTGGGCTCTCAGCCATGCTCATTTCTTACGCTAGTTAAACAGTGAAAGGCATGCTACGGTAGCCATTTCTTCCTGATCCTTCAACTATGCATCTACAGCTCCTCAGCACTTGGCAGCAAACTTCGCGAAAGCCCAAGATTTTGACTTGCCACCTAAGCCCCTGACTGATATAGCCCCGAACACTTTGAAGCGTGGAATCTGGAACCCTGTACCGGAGAACTCAACCAAGGCTGCTCAACCTTGTCACGCGTGTGGCGCACGATGAAGGAAGTCACGATAGCGAAGCCGTCCAAGTGATCCTCATGTCCAACATCGGGGCTTAGGGATTCAGCGTTCAGGGGTCTATTTGTTGGGTCTGGATGCAAAACGCTGTTACTTTCACACGACATTCTGAAACCTATAATTGCGGCAGACAACAAAACCAGCATGACGGCAGGTGCATGAACGGCAGGAAAAAAATTGAGAGGGGTAAGCCCTGCCAAAGCTGAAGCCACGCACAGGGTGTCGATATCCGGAAACAGGAAAGACAACTGTAAAGAGTGATTTACAGACTGTCCCTAAAAGTGCAGGCCCGAGAATTTCCCAGAACTTGAGTATGCTCGACATTGCGGGAGGACTTCGAAAGCATCCCCAAAATGCTGCATCCCCTCTGAGGGGTGCATATGCTAAACTCCTGACAGTTGCAAGTACCTCACGACTTTTGCTGCTGCTGCTGCTGCTACAGCAAACACTACCCCTCATGCTGGTGAGAGGTGATATCAGTGGCAGCGGTGGCGGTGGTGGCGCGGATAGCAGTGGCGGCAGTGGCGGCACAGTGCCATATCCACCGCCAGCATGAAAGGAAGAATGCCAGTAGCAATTCAAGCAGCATGCGCAAGCCTCAGCTGAAAAGCTGCTCGAGCAATGGCAATCTTTTTGTAGCTATGTCCAAGAGGCGATGGACTCCACAATGCCCATGGCCGGCAGGAGGAAGAGAATGACACTGCCAACGTCAGACAAGCCCTTCCTTCAGTCTTCTGCACGGGTTGCAGGGGGCCCTTTGGGATGTCGCGGGGGGGATTATGCAGAGATTATCTGCTAGAAGCGAGCAATGATGTGCAAGTATCCCAGAAAGAGGCACCAAAAGGTTAAACGTGTGCTTAAAACCATCCCATGCAACTAGTCCGCTGCGCACTTGGGGACCCTTTCTTTAGGCCACTGCCGTACCAAAGTCTGGCTAGGACTGTGGCAAACGGAAGCCTGATCACCTTGCATCTGCTGTGTGATGGTCACACTCGTCCAGAGCAGCTTGGGCGGGAAGCTGGACTTACAGCACCTACGATCCGCGCATGGTGGCCTCTACGCGAACCCTTCTAAGAGTGCCTTCAGCCTGAAGTCAGCTCCCGAACAAGATCTACGTCGAATACTCACAAGAGCTTTCCAAAGCTGCAATCCATTCTTGCGCCGAGTGCTCATAATATTCCCCCAAGCTTCGATAGTTCGTGCATCAGCTCCTCGTGACCCTGCGAGCAAGAAAAGAGGTGTTAATGGCCAGGACCCTTGCACACACTGATTAAGCAGTCCCAGAAATCAAACGTGGTCACGAAAGTTTTTCGAAGTTGGACCTCAAGAATTTCAACGAGGTTTTGCAAAATCTTGGGCCTGAGGGTTCCTGCTGCCTTTGTGTCCCTGGGTCAACGTGGGAGTGTCGCAAGCGTATTACTGCGTCCCTGACTTCCGTTTGAGGCACAAAATCTGTTGGAATTGCCAGAAAACACCGAAGAAAAGGAAAACGAGATGCTTCACCATAAGATGTACAAAAGCTGCCCCCATGGCCAAGAGACAAGAGGAATCCCAGAGCTATGTTCTACAGTGACTAGGCAGGGAAGAACCAGGAAGACTATGACTAACTGCTCAGGCAGCTACACCACTGATGGGGAACAGAGTCGCGAATAATTTGGGTTTCGAGGTTTCAGGTTCAGGGCTTCAGAGTCCGGATTTAGGCGTCTAGAGCTTAAGGTTGCGTAAGGGTCAGAGACATTGACGTTCGGAAGAGAAGGACATACGACAGTGCTGTTGTCACATGGTATACTACCACCAAGGTAGTGGTTATGGCTTTCTGGGCTTATGAAAGCGCGAAGGTTATCGTCAATGATGACTAGCATGGCCAAACTCCTACGGATCAGATCTTGTGAGCCCAAGTCGCCCTCTTATTCCTTTCCAACCCCGTTTGCATGAACTCATATGCCACTTGCCTTGGTAGTGAACAACAGACAGAAGGCATGTTGGGCTACAACAATTAGCAGTAAGACTAGGCTGGTGGAGTATCAGCCTCCGATTGCTTGAAATCTCACATGGCAAGATGATCCTGGAGCCTAGATGCTAAATCAAAGGAAGTACGACAACTTTATTAGGCATCCTAAGCTGTGCAAGACGCACGCGCCTCGTGCGATTGTGTGGGGTGGTATCCCGCCGCCTGAATGGATCAGTTGTTGAATATTTCGGTTTGGGGCTGTAAGATGTATCGTGTCCAGAAATGATAGAAGGCAGTTTTGGGTGACCACTGTACTGCCAGATCTTGTCTGATGCAACCTTGAAGCGAGCAAGACAATCACAATATCCCACAATGATGCATGTACATATAAGGTGCATGAGAAGGACGATGAGAGGACGACTTCTTTGCGCAAGTTGCTCCAAAAGGTGGCGGTGACAGGGCCTACATAATTGGGGTACGACGCATGTTTCTGGTGTGCTGCCCCTGTCTTTGCGCAGAGTATAACGAAAATGAAAACACTGCTAGAATTGAATGCATTCTGCATAGTCCTTGGAAATGCCTGACCCTGAATCCCCCAACACAGACTCCAGTCGTTTTTGCTGCCAGCTAGCGTGGTAGGTCCACATGACCGAAGCCAACACCTCAAGTGTCATCTGCATCTTTCGGGGTCAGGCTTCGGGCGGGTTCGTGGCAAACAGACCCTGATCGCTGATCATTTCTGAGAACCGTACGTGCCCCCAAGAGCGAGCTCCCCCCGTAGCACATATACCCCGAAGCACGCACTCTGTGCTTGCGCCCCAGGAAAATATACTATCCATCTTGAGGTGACGGTGACGGAATTCATGACGGGAGCCGGGCTGTTCTGCCAAGACTTCTAGCAAGCTGCTGAATCTGCTGAACAGCTTTGTGCATGAGACTTTCAAGGCGAACATGAATCGCCACCTCAGATGAGATGACGAGCTTGGGCTAGACACCCCGGCTATCATCCAAATTCTGGTAGCGAGCCGTGCTGCGTCTTTGTCTGGGGCTCGAGCCAGCATGATGGCGGACTTGTCGAGGTGGATAACATCCTGGCTGGGATGGTGTCTTAGGCTTTGACTCAACACAGAGCGGTCTGGGATCGCCGCGTCAGCGGCAATCCTAACAACCGGGATGTCTTCGTACAGGCCGACATTAAAGGGACCCCGACCCCAATAATGCGTTGGGCTTCCAAAATCACCCTCCACAATGCCAAGTGCAGTAAACTTGGTAAATGACCCGAGACTAGCAACCATGACTCTAACAATCCCACTTCAGGTTCTGAGGTCCTCCAAGGCGACCAAGGTGATGCCCGTGAGGAAGACCGCGGCTAGGATCTTCCTCACGCGGTCCATGGTTTGGGGTTTCAGGGTTCAGCTTGCTCCCTTTAGGTTTGAGGGCGAAAGGCCGCGTTCAAGTTGCAAAATACCTTTTTGCAACATGATGACTCACAGGAGGCCAAGCTGCCAGAACAAAGGAGTGAACGCTGGTACCATTAATACCAGGCGTGCCCTTGCAAATGGGCTCAAAGCATTGCTACAGGGGATTTGTTCTGCGATATGGGGCCGCCAGAGAGGAACCCAAAAAAAAAAAAGCCGGAGGTCAACCCAAGAGCCGTCACCGTACGACACAATTAGAAGCCCTCACATCTCCTCACTGATGGTACGCGAGCAACCAACACTGGTGAGCCATGTACTTGAGCAGCTGCCCCATCATGCCATCAGTTCAAAATGCTGTGCACGGGTAGCCCGCTGCAATTATGAAGGAGGGCTTGTAACTAAGGAGGGCAACAGCCGACTGGAGGGTGATGCCCTGAAAGAAGGCGGCCAACGACCCCCCGAATCCCACTATCTCAAGCCGAGAACGGGGGGTGGACAGAACCTCCAAAACCATAAACCCGCAACCCGAGCCCGAACCATGAGTCCCAAATCGTCTACCAGAAACTTCTCAAAAGCCATAGCACCCAAGCCGACTAAGTACACCTTGGGGTTCGGCCTGTGCACGTCGTCGTTGTCAATCACGCTGCTTGGCCAGCCAAAGAATGCCTTCACTCCAGCAAGTTTTCGGGCTTGATCTAGGGATGTGGCACTTTTACATGAGAGCAATGCCATTCCCCAGATATGATACTCCATAGCACTGCGGAACATTCATTGCTAGGGAGCAGATGGCAACAGAGGTATTAGTGGGAGGTGATTATAAAAAGAGCATGTGAGGATTGCACCTGGCGAATGACTTGTTGGGAGTGAGCCATGAGGATTCTGTCAGACTCATCTCTCAAAGAAAGAACCCCTTAGTGAAACCGTGCTTCTGAGGTGCGCTAAATTACCTGTGATGATCATCACCAGGACAAGGAACTCAAGGAATGGTTGCTGGCGACCACAATGCAAGGCATCGTGATAGCAATAATCACCACTACATTCTGGCAGTGGCTTAAGCATGGCAAAAGCCATGACCATAATGAACATTCACATAACAACGCAATGAGGGAGAACCGACCAACTTGGTCGCGAAGCGTAACTAAACCAGCAACAGCCCAAAGAAAAATCGAGGTGAGTTCAGCGCTTAATTAGGCGCTTTGGGGGTGCAGTTTGGCAAGGCTCCAATCCTCAGTAGAACGCTCCCACTTCCTAGAC